ATGGCAGTGCAGCGTTCCGGTGTTATCAGCCACTCCTCCCAGCTTTGTGTCATCAGCAAGTTTGCTGATGGTACACTCTGTCCCCTCATCCAGGTCATTGATGAATAAGTTGAACAAGACTGTGCTGAGTAATGCAGCCCTTTTGGACTGAGTTGGAATGAATTCATATTCGTGTCAGCTCCTTTCTAATGGCACAGTTTAAACCAGCCAGGCATAATTGTTTCAGCATGAATCACTTTTAATCAACACTATTAATAAGCATTTAATGTACTCTCAGCTGCCCTATGGTCTCTTCCTCTTAGGTCACTGAGGCATCCATTACAGGTTGCATAAGTAGTTTTCAGACCAAATTTGAGCGTGTCATTACTGACATGAGTACACTTAAAAAATACACCTCTGGGAAAAAAGGTATCACCACCAGACCATTTTTAGTGTAGGTTTCCTCAATTACTGGTAAGCCGAGCTGTGCTGCAGCTCTTGGCGCTTTGGCTTGGGGAGAATTTCCTCCTTTCTTATGCAATTCAGGACTGAACACATGCAAAAAGACTAAATGGAAAGGGAATTCTTCCCAAAACGATTGCTGTTGTGCATATGGCAAATTCCCACAATGAAGTCACGCATTATTGCTTTCTTTATTCCTTTCATGTTATGTCTTCACAGCACAGGGTAGCAATATACTTTAAAACCAAGGAAAATCCTAGGCTGTATTTATGGCGGATGGAAATGTATAGTCCGTTACATCCTATTAACATATAGGAAAGACCCACAGCTGAGTGACTTGAGATGCTCTAGAAGGCATAGACTGATCCTATCCCATTTTATTTTGGATCTTCATCACAGCTCAGATCACATCACAAACTCTTTACCCTGACTTTCCACTCCAAATTCACCTATGTCCAACTCAAAATTTGCATTCCAGATGCGAGCCCAGGCTTGAAACACAGGGGTTTTATTTCTCCTACAAAGCTTTCCTTTACGCAGTTCAAATTCTTTCATGACATCCTTGAATTAAAATAAAAATTAAAAGAAGTCACAGAATCAGATTGGAAGGATCCTCCGGTTTCCAGTCCGGCCTTGGGCTCAGCACAAGCATGGACTACCAGCAGCATCACATCAGCCACAGCTTTGTCTGGCAGAGTCTTCCAGGCCTCCCAAGAACAGACATTTCACAAGGTGTCCAGGCACCATCTCCCAGGGTTTCAGCCTTTCAGTGAAAAAATCCTTCCCTTGTGTTCAATCTGAACCTCTGAAGTTACGGTTTGCAACCACTGTCCCCCATTACACTGTCTGGCACCGCCAAAACCAGTTTGCTTTCAGGCTGCTGGAAGTACTCGACCACTTTCCACCTACATTTCAGGCAGATTGCCCTTAGCCACCTCCTCTCCCATCTCCACAAGCTCTTGAACCCCGACACAAGAGCTTTTTCACCTCTTCCAGTTTTTCCTACATCCCTTCTGACCTGCAGGCTCAGAACTGCAGAAAGCCCTCAGCTCACAGAGCCATGGATCATGTCAGAGCATTAGATGCAACACTGCTTTGCAAACCAACTTCAGCTGCACAGCTTTTCTCCTCTTGTCCAGTCAGAGACAGTTTTACTCATTCCCATGCAGCCGTTGAGTGACCTGCAGGCTTGCAGCTATCCTTATCTCAAAGGAAAGGCTAATTATTTAAGATAGCAGGTTCTTTCAGATGTTAAGCCTCATGGACAGGCTTTAAGCAATGCTTTAAGTGTTCAGCATGCATTCCAAAAACATCCAGTGATTTTAATTGCAAATCTCCTTTCCCTTTTAAGACTAGGAAACACCACATAACAATTAGTTATTCGAAATCCTGCAACAATCACTTCAAAATTCACACTCTGGGGGGAGAGCCGATGATCTGCCAGCTTACTCTGAGAACACCCAAGCCACAGCCATGCTTCTCAGCCGAGCTTAAGTGACAGAAGAGGGAGAAAAGAGCGCTCCTTACTCAGCCAGGACAGCGAGGACTGCATGGAAGAGAGACAAGGCAGAGGGCTAAACGTTGTGGAGGGCTAGCCTGAAGACTTCGTTGGTACACACCCAGGCACCTTGCAAACTTTTCAACAAAAAGGTTTGGTGGAAGCCTAGAACCTGGTCATCGTCTGCCTGAGCATGACAGGAGAAATACGTTACTAGGTGAAGCACGCTGAAAATACTGGGTAACATTCTGGATGCACGTGGGCAAAGTAGCATCACACCAAGTGAAACTCGCTCCTAAAGGCTTAAACTGATGCTTACTCTTCCTAGTTGAAGCAAGCAAGCATGCACCCAGACAATGAACAGCAATGAAAACAATGAACAGCATTGGAATAAGTGGAGGTATATTTATTATACCTCTAGAAAAGGATAAAAAAAACCCATTACTACCTATCCCAACATCCATTGAAGAGGATCTTTCATATATTTACTTGAAAACACACTTTGCCATTAAAGCAATTACTGGACTGCTGCTGCCAGTGAGTTAGATCCTCACAAGCAACATTCACCCTACATTGATGCTCTATTACTCTCCAACATCTTCTCCAAGAAGCTGTTCTGTCTGGTCCCCTCGGTGCATATGATTATTCTGCTGCAAAAGATGTTGCTTTTTTTTTTTTTTAATTTACAGTTCATATTGGCATGCTTGGCTATAGACTGGAGCAGCACAGAGGCAAACACACATCCTGACCTTGTCACGGGGCAGTCACAACTTCAACTGACCCCAGTTAAATCCCCCTCAACAGGGAAGGCCAGAGGCTTAGAACAACCCAAACCTGCCAGTTTACTTAAGGAATACTACTCTGGTAAAGGAAATAGAAAGTTTGACAGTAATAGTCCTTGACCCCATTATTTCTTCAGAATGGTTCTTGTACAGTTAAGAAGAGAGCTGAGGCTTTGTGACAATTTGGTAGCAGGTCACCCCACAGTATATGCAGGGACAGTGGAAAGTTTTTCTGCTTTGGTTTGGTTTTTTCCCCCCTAAAATCTGACAAGATCAAAATATAATATTTTAAGGAAGAAACACAAGATGTGCCCAGCTCACTTAAGAATAAGTTTCCACTGAACTTTTGGGACTAGCAATTTGAGCAACTAAGAAAAAAATCCATTTAAATCTCATGCCAAGAATGACTTCTTAGAAAGGGCATGTTACAGGTATTTTAACGTTATTATTTTCTTGGATTACTCTATTCAACATTATGCATGCTCCTTCATTACATAAAACAATGCAAGTTTTGAAAAACTGCAGAGGATTCAAAAGCATATGCATTGATTGTACTGGGCTCTGAAGAACTGGGCTCACAGTCCCATGAAAAGGATAACAAACCAGTAAGGAAGAAGCATGGCTTTTCCCTCCAAACCCTCCTACTGATGGTCTTGAAAGTCCCCTTCCTTTTGCAAATTTCTCTATATTTTTCCTCGAGGCCAACAGATGCGAGCCGTGCAGAACAGCCATGCCATTAAGAAGGCCACCTTTAAATAAAATTAACCCTGCTGCTCCATGTTTGCATGTTAAAGTGTACCCCCTTCACCTGGAGCTACAGATAAGCCACTTGTTAAAATGCACTAACCGAACCCAGCTGATATCAGCTACTGTATTGTACAGCGAACAGCACTGAGATTGATTAAAATGGCTCTCACCACCTACATGTGAGCACGAGAAAAAGTATTCTCTACGTATGACAACCAATGGCAGAAATGGTTTCTGTAGGTCATGCTACAGACCGTTACCGATTATTTCATTTGTCCACCTGTATAAGTATCATGCAAGGTAGAAGCAAGAATTCAAAAGTTCCAAGTTGACTTTCTGGACACTTCCTTGGTGAGGAGCAGCGCTTCCCAGGCATTTAAATGTGCTTTTTAAAGCTAAGATTGGAGACACATACAGGTGAAGAGTGGAAGAATGTCACCCCTCCCACTAAAAATTCACAAACAAGTTGGATTTGATCATAGTAGGCATACTTTAACCCAGTATGTTCTCTCCAAGTACCTAGACGCACTATCACATGATCCCCAAATTACTCAGAGGATAAAAACAGCAGAGTAAGAAATACTACTCCAAACCATGGTATTTATGGAAAGCTCCCAGACTGCATCTACAACCCTAACAACCATACTAAAGGATGAGAAAACCCAAAAGCTTTACAGAATCTTTAAGGACTTGATCTTGCCACAGGATTCAACAGTCAGTGTTGCAAGCTGTGATCTGCTTAACGATTATGTAATAACCTTAAAAACAGGACTATGCAAAACCAGGTGCAGATGTGAGTGGCCCAAGACGTTCAGTCAAAAAGTCTTGGTCATGTCATTGAGTTTTGCGCACACCCAACAGTACAACAGATGAGATCAGCAATGTCTGACGTCAGACCCTGCCCTGCAACTCAGTGCCTTCCATGGCCACATGTGGCTGTCTTTTCTCCGAGTGTTGCTCAGTCCCACCTGCACACAAGCAAGCTGGAATCCAACTTGCAGCTAGGAAGCAGGGAGCAACTTTAAGGAGAGCCAAAGCTACCTACGTTAGGCTTACAAGTGGACACGATACACTGGGAACGCTCTTCTCAACTGCCCAACCCAAACAATTAAAGAGAACAGCTAAGCAAGCAGATTCAAAGATTCAGTCCTGTGTTTGCTTAGCTAACAGTACAGCCAGTGGCAGTTTGAAGGTGAGACAGAGGTGTCATTCAGAGTTAACAGGAAAAGGAAACCTAAACAGCTATCTTAACAGAAACTGGGTTCAAGTAACTCTAAAGACTGGATGGCTTTAGAGTCCTGACTTGACAGCATGGCTGGACCAAACCCTGACAAAACCATAACTTTAACTATAGCTATGGAATGTCACATTTTTTAAACTGCCCTCTGTGAGCAAGCTCTGCCCACAGCTGACTTTACATATAGGGTATTTTTTGCAGATTCCAGAACAACTTCTTTCATTGATACATAGTGTAATTAGCTTATGAGTCTGTGGCCCTGGTATTCTTAGATCCAGCATTCTGTCACAAGAACAGGAGACTGGGTAAGTTTAGCGGTTCA